AATGATAAAATGTCCAAAGATCCCAAAGATACTCAAGAATCAATACTCTGGTGGAATATATATAACCAGCGTGGAAAAAAAGAAGAGGAGGAAAATCTCTGAGAATTTCTGGAGACGTTAATCCGAAAGAACCATCGATGACAATGCCGAATCCAAGAGAAACGCTTGGCAATAAAATTTCCAAAACCTTCTCAATTATCCACCACTGTTGCTCGCAGGAATTTCCACGTCGAAAAGACACACTCCATTGCCGTGAAATATTTACGAAACGGCCTCAACCTGACTCACCATCGAGTCTTTCACCGGACAATAAAAAACAGAGGTAGTGGCGTTCTTTTTGTACTTGGTGGTGCGCGATGTGTTCTCGGTGGCGTTTCGTCGACATCCGGGAACGTTTCGTGGCCAGTCAGGGGAAATTTACGGCGGAACTGGAACCAGTGGGTGCACGTACCACCACGTAACGCTCGTTGTTCCACGTTGTAACGTGTTTGCGCACGAGGGCCGTGTTCCCTCGTGTAATTTTTAAAGGAAACGGCCTGCGTTTCGCGTTGCTTTCGAAAGAAACGCGATGTTCTTCAACCCTCCTCCCATCCGTTTGCTGAATCGAAATCGAAATGGGCAAAACGCCGCGCCAATTTGAATTAGAATCGTGCCAGTGCGTGCTGCGTAGAGAATTGCAAATCTGGAGTTATTAGTTATTTCGATTTTTCACTCGCCGCGTTCCTTTTCGTTCACTCTCGAAGTATTTATACTTTCCTCGAGATGTCTCATCGGACAGTGTAATGAGAAAATTCGTAACATCAAGTTTTATATTCCGAGCTAATTTTACACGCTACTTAGGATTCTGATCACGTCGAATAATTCTTCTTGAACAGTAATTCTGCAATATGTTTTTATACATTATTGGTTTGTATATACTACGATACTGTAATATTATAAATAAAATGAATAGTAAAATAAATATTAAAAAGTTATAAAATAACTAAATTTATTTTACTATTTATCACTATATATTACGTACCAATTATTACTTATATTTATATTACAAATATAATTATTACCATATTTATTTTATAATTTATACTATAATATTATAAATAAAATAAAAGTAAAATAAATAAAATAAATATTAAAAAGTTATTTTATTACAAATAAATTATAAAATAAATACAGTAATAATTATATTTGTAATATAAATATAAGTAATAACTGGTACGTAGTATATAGTGATAAATAGTGAAATAAATATTAAAAAAGTTGTTTTATTGTAAATAAATTATAAAATAAATATAGTAATAATAATTGTATAATAATTCCAGTATATAGTATATAGTAATATTGGTATATACGTAAATAAATCAAAAGGATAAATCAAAAGTTTAAACATATGTGTCTTCAATTTCAAAGGAAAATCTTAGGAAAAAAATTTGTATAAATTTACCCTATTAACAGGTTGAGCTTGAATCAATCTTTGGCCGATTGAAATCACGAGCGTCAGAAGTTCGAAAACGGCGCAAGCTCGTTATTAAAGGACGGATAATTCACGTGCGCGTAATGAGTCGCGATTTCAGCGCAGGATGGCCATCATTGACGAGCGAACGTCACTCGGAAGGATGAATCGTAAGATCGCGTGTAAGATGGCTGTATATCCGGCGAAACGAAACGGAAGGTAGCGAATTATTCGTCCAACCTTAACCTGTATGTGTGTATGTGTGTGTGTGTGTCCAGAACGACCAGGTTTCAACCGCGGATGACCCACGAACGCTTGAATTACAGACACGCTAACCACTGTGTGCCACAGAGAATCACTCGAATATCTTTCTCTAATTTAAGTCTCAATCTCTCGTCTTTCTTTTTCTTTCTATTTCTATTTTTTTTCTTTCTTCTTTCGTTGCTTGATAAATAATCGTTACGTCGTGGGTAAGTTGGTATCACACGCGACTGATACAAATGTAAAAGGTTATCATCGAGGGATGTCGTATTTTTGGAGATAGCCCGATGGAGAGAAATTTCTTTGTGTGTGTGTGTGTGTGATTTTTTTAAGATCGAAATCTTCGAGCTTTGACCTTTTGAATTTTTAAGATTCTTTATCCTTGAAACGTTGGAAATTTGGATCCTCGTAATTCTGAGTTTTTCCAATTTTTCGTCATTAAAATCTTGAGATCTTAGTGTCTTGAATATTCAGTCGAGCTTTGAGTTTTCAGCGTTTGAAATTTCGGGTTTCAGTAATTCCGGATACTTTGAATTTTTTTCGATCGTGGAAAATTACGACGAGGTTTCGAAACCTCGGAATTTTGAACATTTGTGACTTTGAATTTTTTTCGAAATTTTTAATCCTCGAAGTTAAATGAATATTGAACGTTTGGAATTTCGAAACTTTGGAATTTGAAATTCTGAAACGTTGAATCTGCGAGATCTTGAATCTCGAAATATCGAAAGTTCGAATCATTCGAAATCGTGGAACACTCGGAAAAAAAGTAAATAAGATCAACGACCATCGACAAGAATTACCAAAAAAAATTTCTCTATTGTAAAATCCAATTTACTATGGTGTAGTGAATAATTTACTCGATTCCTGGAAAATCGGAAACAATTCCCGGGCAATTTTTGCTCGTCCACCGTCATTCGGACCTGTTTATCGAGATATTTGGATGGATTTTTCACGAAATTCGTGGAAAAATCAACGGACCGAATCCGTTCCGTCGGTAATGTTAAGCAACGATCGGCGCGCGCTCGTTTTTTATTTGAAATTCTATTATCGTTTCCGTCGAAGGGCCGACGCAATTCGAATTACAAATGCCGATCGAAATTGCCCGGTGAAATACGGTGTTTCGCGTAATTTATCCCGAGGCCTCTGTGCCCGCTTAACGATAAATCCTCGTTCGTTCGTTCGCGTATTCATGAAAAATCCAGTCGTCACGCGGTGCAGTCTGCGCGCCGAGTTTCTGGTTTTATCCTAGAGCCACTGCTCTCCCGCCTTTTATGAGAAGTCTGACTAAAAAAAGAAAAAAAAAAAAAGAAAGAATTCAACGCGACAGGTTTTCGTATAATCATTACAATGGAAATATTATAATACCGCCAGTAGAAACGCGATACTACGATTAAACAATGATAATGGAAACGTTTTATCTCTGAATTTTATCACACTCGTGTCATGTAGGAAATTAATATCAATACTGCAATGGGAATATTGTTAGAACGGAAAGTTCTATTATTTTAATTTGAAAGACACTGTTTTAAAAAATTGTGAGAATGCTATTTTAATTGAAAAATAATAACAAATCGTATGGCGCAGAGGGAACACGTTTCTTGCACGTCGTAGATTTTTAATTGAAAGACAGACTAGGTACTTTTGGACTGAAAGTTTCCCTCCCCAAGGAAAAATGGAACGATGAAAATGTAATTAACTACGTGTAGAAAATCGTGAATCGAAACTTACGTATGAAGAATCGAAAATGTTAATCGGTGTAAGATATTTTTATTTATTTATTTATTGTGCTAACAAAAATGTCTGCAATACACCTAATAATTCCAATAGAACATACTTCCCGCGTTACTAAAATATTTTATGTTATTAGCTTTGCGCTAATTTCGTGAAAAGTATTTTTACAATCATTTTTGCGAATTGCACAGAAGAAAAAGAAGTTGTCTGCGACCCGTTTAATAATTCTAGCGTTACTAAAGTATGATTTTTACCTCAAACATGGTGTGTCTATTGACATATGAATCTATCGAACCATAAAGCGATGCTTAATCAACCGACGCTTTTGGCAAAATCAAAAAGTATGTCCACACCACGAAAATTAAACATTGATCGCACAGGAGCCATTGAATTCGCAGTTAATTTCAAAGCTGCGATGATCTTGATAATCGAGTACAATATACGTAGGTAATAATATCAAACAATTCAGCCAATTGAATTGGAAACGATTCGTGTGAATGAATTTTAATTGAATTAATTGAGATCTATCGCACCCATTTTCTAGGCGAGCCAAAAATTTTATATTTTGCTAGCTCTCTTTAACGCGTTCAAATATTGTGTGTTTAAGTATTTGCAATGTTTATACAATGTTTCAAGTATTTAAAGTATTTAAAAAAATATTTTAAATATTTCATTTGTCTTTGACGATAGAAAGATGTGTCTTCGAAGAAAAGAGTATTAATTTTTACATCATTTTTTATATTGTTATATTTATATTATATTATATTTATATTTATATATATTCATATTATATTATATTTATATTTATATATATTCATATTATATTATATTTATATTTATATATATTCATATTATATTATATTTATATTTATATATATTCATATTATATTATATTTATATTTATATATATTCATATTATATTATATTTATATTTATATATATTCATATTATATTATATTTATATATATTTATATTATATTATATATTAAAGAATACATATAGTGATTAACGATATTAAAGAATACATACAGTGATTAACGATATTAATAATACATTTCATACTCTGGAAGGTATATTTCTAAATTTATTTTTAATAGGTTTCATTTTATCCAACCATTGTAACAAACCATTCTTCTGAAACATTTTGCGTCAAATTAAATTTATAGAAAGCATTCAACAAATATATACTACATGAAGCATCTTCTTAAATTTGTTGCTAGTCAATCTATATTATTTTGTTACATCAATTATACCTCTCGCGCTAATTTAAGACGAATGATAAATAACTAATAAAAAAATAATTAATATGGACAGGTAAAGATAAAAAATAAATTTCATCGAGGAATGAACTCTTGAAATTTGTTACAAATGAATGATCCAGTAGATTTCGCCAGAATAAAATTAAATACCAAAATACGAAATGAAATATCCTTTAAAATTTTCGTTAATCATCAAAATCTCTCTCTCTCTCTCTCTCTCTCTCTCTCTCAAATATTTTCAAAACGATATCAACCGCTGACGTAAATGCTAATGTGCGTTGATGCTTTTTGTGTTTCAGTGTGCGTGCAGTGGCCAGAGGGTAGGTGCTTCCACGACGTGCCGGAATCGGCACTGCTGAATCTCTACTTCGAGATCCGTGAGAATTGCCACGGGTTCTCCTGAAGGCGATGCCAAGAGTACGGCAACGACGGTGATCACGGCCAAACGAAACAGAGACGATCAACGAAACTCATCGTCGCCGAGCTACAATCGTGCTCGCAGTATCGCGACAGACAGTGAAAAATCTTCACAAAAAGTTTCACAATTTTCGTTTGTTTCTTCCCCCAACAGCCGCCAACACACCACGACCAAGCCAACATAGAAAAGAAAAGAAAAGAAATCAAAATGCAAAAACGAAAGAAAGACAGCCACGAGAGTATCTAGGGACTGGTTCTCCCTCCGAACAGGAGAGAACAGTCTGACAATCTTCGTGATTCACGATCTTTACTATATATATATATATACTTTTTCTTATTTTTTTTTTTTTTTTCGATCTCCAAGCTTTTTTTTCTCTCATCAACTTCGCTGGACACAGCGTGAATCAGCGAGCGTTGATTGCTCTAAAAGATCACATTAAGTGCCGTTCTACGGAGTCGAGTTAAAAAAAAGCAAGCTTCACGAATGAATTTTGCAAGTTTTGAGATCTTGTAGGTCACTCGGCTTTTATTCGAGGCACGACAGTCTCGCGTGAAAACGACACGATTTTTTCTCGTTTTCGCGCGTAAAGCCACAGGTCTAGCACTGGCCCTTAGATGGTCCCCGCGACAAAACGCCCCCCCCAACCCCCCCCCCCCCCCCGAAAACATGCTCTGTTTGACCCTCTTTTTTTAGGGTTCTCGATGATTCCAGCAGAAGCAAGGTGGGTGTACAGACTTTATTTACCTACAACTAATTGCTCGTCGTTCAACCAGCTCGCGAACTACTGTCTTATATATATATACACACACTCTTACCTATCGAAGTGTAATATTGTATTTTTATCTCACGTAAAACTTTTTTCTTTTTTTTTTTTTTCTTCTTTTTTTTTGAATCTTTTGGTTAATTTCAAATATCTCTTCTTTCTTGTCACTCGTCTTCCCTGGCCCCTGTGTACGAGGGAGAGTACTCGTGCTCAGTACATAACCAAGACCCTGATCCCACGTCTTTCGTTTCTTTATACACGTGTGTATAGACACGCGCGTAAGCAAACGTGAAACTGTTTGCTGAAACGTGAAACGAGTAGTTCATTGTCTATTCCCAAGCTAGCTCTAAAAGACGAAACTTTTTTCGGAGAGGGAGGAAAATTTACGCTCGTCGTGGACGTCTCTGAAAAAATGTTGAACGTCAGAACCGCCAAAATGGTCAGTAATTGTTTTTTTGTAAAATGTAGAAACAGATTTTCTGGAAGAAAATCTTTCCTAGAACACGCAACTATGCTAATTCCGACACATCTAACTTTGTCGAAGATTTTTACACATCAATTGAACTTCCGAATGAATATCTTGCAAGTTGAACTTCCTTTATATTCTTTGAACCAAAGCTTTTAAACCGTTCTCGAAAAAGAAGAAGAAAGACTATGCTTAGATTTAGATTGTATTTCACAGTATTTCCGAATTTTCAAAATGGCCACGCACGAACGTATCCGAAGTAGCTTCTAACTCTATCGAAGAGTAAATTTTTCTAAAAAGGAAAGAGAAAGAACTAGAAATTCTTGTTGCACCTTGTCGGTTCACCACGAGACGTATCTTTTGCTCCTGCTATCTCGAACGAGGTTTTTATGTTTTCTTGTCGGGCACGAGAAACTTGCTGTTTTGAAAAGGCCACGTGGGTAGCGTCTATCGGTCAGTGGTAGGCCAACCCTAGACAGAGCGAGCCTCTGCCCCTTCTGGATCGACGTATCGATCATTCCTAATCGCGACTGAACTGATTTGATGCCGCGCGAGTATAAACTTCAGCGAGTATAAATACCGTAAAATGTCTGTAAAAACGCTCTGTCCACGTATGAGAGAAGATCGATCTATTATATTCGAAGAGAACGGATCGAGACTCGCTGATGTTGCGCTCGCGCGAGTTCTCGATTAGATCGTAAGATTAGCGTTAGTCATGGAACCACAGGGTATTCGAAACTATTTTTACGTACATTCCAAGAGAAAAGGAGATCGGTGAAACGTTTGCTTGTTTCAACGTAGCGTACGACACTCGAGCCGTTTCATCCGGTTTTTCTTTTGACACGAGTCGATACAGGGTATTATTTCTAGTGATCTAGTAAACGTAAATTACCTTATTATTGTGACGTCTGTTCCGAGGACACGACAACGATACATTCCGTAAAATAATCCATTATAACGATCGTCAACGTGCTGCCTACATAGCCATTGTATCTTTTACCATCGTTTCGAGAAAAAGAATTCGTCGACGATCTGGATGGCCTTAATGAGTTCCTAATTGCCGCAACACGGTGTAATTAATCTGTTTTATATTGTTCCATTTCTTTTTTTGTTTCTTTTTTAATGGAAACGACAACAATATGGCAAAGAAAAAGGAACGCTAGAACTATCGATCTGTCCATTGATGAAAGATAAAGTTATCTTTGCGTTTCATTCGGATGACAAGAATGTCATCAATATCTCTGTTTCAATTATTAAAAAAGAAAAAAAGTAAGTAGAATGATAATTAGAACCTTAGAATTAAAAAGATAATTAGAACTAAAGAACCTTATTTAGAAGCAGAAGAACTTTATTAGATCGTTATTTTACGAGAGACTGAAATGTAACAGTTCTTCGTTTCATCTCCACTTGTCAGAGATGAATTACACTACTTACAAAAATTACACGGTGAAATATGAACTTATCAGAAACAATTCTAAAGTCTCTGCCAAGCTTGCAAAGTTTCTCTGACTTGGCCAAATTTTAGTACAAATGAAATGCAGAAGCTCACGAAAATTCTCCTACAAGCTTAGAAAATTCTTCGACCATTAAATTATGAGGGACGAGGACGTGCAAAAGCTTTCAAGCTTCAAGAAGAATCCCAATCACGGAGAATATAAGAAATGTAGAATTTTCTCTCGAATCAATCATAACAAATGAAATGAGGTATTAAAATATCCAGACACGCACGAGAAGAGCGATAGTTCTAGTGTGAAACGTATACAGCTACAAAGCCAAAGGTTATCGGCGTAACAACTTAAACGATACATCTAGCTCAGCCAGACAGACTCGCGAATGTAAACACGGTCAGATTCTCTCTCGACACGCAGAGCACGTTGGAAGATCGCGACTTCCAGGTGTCTGCGAGGGGAAACGCGAATTAATTTTTCAAACAGTGCTCGCCGAATCGGACAAGAATGTGTAACGTGCACCCTCGAAGAAGGTAAAAGTGGCGCATCGTCGCGTCTCTGTGACGTTTTTCGTAACTAGAATCTCGCCGTCGCTTTCCCCTTTCGCGAAGCTGCGCCATTTTCGATCGTTTTCACTCGCGCGTCTCGACTCGGAAAAGGCAAAAAGATAAACAAAACGAAAAAAAAAGAAAGAAAAAGTGAAAAGGAAACAGTGATAACGGTTGGCGGAGATGCGAATCGAAGCGTGAGAAACGAGATGGAGAAAGTGGGAAGAGGACTCTAGTGAAGAGAAGGTGACAATAGAGAGGAGGGCACGCAACGAAGAGAGAAGAGAGAAGCGACACGATAAGGAAACGGTACTGCGGTTATTATGCCGGAGGTGACAGGGAAGCGAATTAAACGCCGCCTCCGGATCGATTCGCTTCCAAACTGAATGCATGGCAGTCGCTGGCTGAATAGAGAACTTGCCAGTTCCCGCGGGAGAACTCGATCTCGATGGTTTTGTTGTTGCCCCGCGCGCGAGTGTGTCTTCGAGCGTTATCAAAACGAGTGGACGAGGAAAGAGTCTCTGAGACCTTGACGATAATTCGTAGTCGACGATGTTTATGCACTTCTGTGGGAGAGATTTATAGGTTTACAATATAAATATATATATAATATTATATAAATATATATAATAAAATATATATATTTATATAATAAAAATATATATATATTTATAGGTTTATAATATAAATATATAAATATATATAAAAAGTCGGAGTACTCGTTGTAACAGTTGATGCAGTGAATTTTTATTTAGGTTTCGATTTTTTTTTTTTTTTTTTTTTTTTAGCAAAGAGTTTTTGATCAAACGCAAGTATTTGAAAGTGCATCTTCAAAGTATAAAATACGTACTATCGTATTCGTTGTAATTCTATACTTTGCTATAATGATTTTAAAGATCTCTCGCGTACTTGTGCTTGATTGAAAACGACGAAAACTTTTCGCTGGGGGTAGTGTACGTACAAAATCAGAGTACTTGTTATAATATTTAGTGAAAATGAAATTTTTATTTAAGTTTCAGTCGTGGTCAAAAGACTACCCTCGGAAAGAAGTTTTTGTTTTAATGCAAGTATTCGAAAGTACTAACATTGAAATATAAAAAATATATAAAATACTATAAAATACCGATATATTTGTTTATTAAAACACGTGGGAAAATAAAATTAGCGATTTTCATTCAGCTCGTAAACACGAATGATTCCAAGATTTTGGAAAATTCATTTATATCTAAACGAGAACTTTTTTACCGGGGATAGTAAAATCAGAGTACTATAACTTCTACGAGGCTTTACCAACTCTTTTAGTTACATAGTCATGAAAGTATAAAAATTGCATAAACATCTACAATGCAACGATGATAGAATTTGCAAGATTAAATTATAGAAATTAACCCTTTGTAACATTGAATGACACTCATATTGTAATTTCAATTCGGCAATTGTATCTACAACCATAATTTGACTTTAACTTCGTCATAAGAATGTTGCAATGTTATTTGCATTTATTAATGAATTGTTTGTCCCAACGAAGAAAGAAAGAAAGAATATTACTACGCAAGGGGTTATTCAAAAGGATTCAAAGTGAAAGTTAAAAATTAGTCAATTAGAATCGATTCAATTGCAGTTGCTCGTTTTATTCTTCGAGTTTGTTTATCGTCAAGGTTTCAAGGAACAGTTCACTCACGCGTTTCAAAGAAATACAGTTCGCTGTTCATCGGAAAAGAGTGTGATCCAATGTGTTTTCTAGCCAGGCAATAAAGAAGAAGTTTTTCTACTTTATCAAAAGAACACGAAGAATTCTCATTGTTCCATCTCGAGGTTCGATTACGTGGCATGCATCGCTCGTTCCTCTTCCAAAAGAAAAAAAAAAGGAAAAAGACTTTTTATCTTTATTCTTTCGTCCCCTCAGTTTTGATCAGTCTTTTCTCCCCTACGTTTCTCTCGAATGGAATCTCGTCATTCGAACTTCACATTCTACTCTATATTTTTTCTTTTTTTTTTTTTTTTCTTTTTGTATTCTTGCTGTTTCGTTTATCTTTATTTATCTTCTTTTTAGATCTCTTCCCGAGTATTTTTCGTTCTGCACTCTTGCTGTTCCCTGATTCTTCGATTTTGTTACTTGGCATCGAGTTTATTAAAACGGGGTAGAATGATGGTGATTTTCTTTTTTCTTTTTTTTTTTTTTCTGTTTTTCCTTAAATGTCCGCTTGATCCTTCTTTGTTCAAGTTGATCCTCGACAATTCTTTTTTCCTTCAGACGATACGTCGACATTGGCGCTGATCGATGAAATTTGGAATTTGAAGTTTACGCGTCACGTTTAAGATCCTCCTTGTTGTAGAGACGAAGCGTCAGGTCACGAAAGTGCAAAGCAAAGTTCAAAGGAGTGCATGCAGTAGGCTTTTTTTGGTCTTGATTAGTGGCGTCTAGCTTTCAGTGAGTAACACTGCGACAAGAAGCCCGAACTCGATTGTAACCCGTGTAGATACTGCGATGTTTATCGAGCGATAGATTCCACCAAACTACGAAATTCCTACCATGCGCACGGAAAGGGGAAGTTTTTAACATTTGCGAAGGCAATTGAAAAAAATTTGAAAAGGAAAGATTCAAACAGTTGGGTAGAGAGAATTTTTCTTGTTTCTACTTGGAATTTTGGAAAGGGGCGGGAATCTTAGACTCAGAAATTTGAAAATTTTGAAGAAACAAGAGAAAGTTATTGCAGTGCGGGCGTTTTCCAATTTCTTAAAAGCTAGAAGGTCGTTAGAGCTAAAAAAAAAAAAAAAGAATTTGGAATACTTGTAAATTTTCCAGTTCTTTCAAACCAGTTACGAGTACAGTTTCTAGGTTGCGTTTGAAAAGAAACGAGGCGAATTTCTATTTTTTAAATTGCACACGCGACCTAGAGCAAAACCTATTGAAAAATTGTTAGTCTATCGCTCGGTAAGTGTCCCTTGAAGCTTGTTCGACACGCTCGACAACCGTATCCAAAAGCCCCGTCACCGTTTGCATGCCACGTGTTATATTACCACCTTTCTTCACACACGTATACGCATTTTTAAAGATCGTTGCAAGAAAAAAAAAACAAACAAACAAACAACAACCGTGTTTCTCTGCCGTGCTCTCACGTTCTCTCTGTGTCGTTTCCTGCTCTCTGTCGGCTCTTACGATTCACTTGCTGCTACGCGCCACGATCATTGTTGCTGTACATCGTCGATGTGCACGTACCACCAAGGAGAAGCAGACGGTCACAAAAAAAAAAAAAAAAAAAAGAAACAGCTTCAGAGCATATCCGAAGAAATAGAAGCGAAATGACGACGTTCTCCGGTCTACGAGTTTCGTAGCTTCGTGCAATTCGAAAAAAAAAATTGACTTGTTGAACATTCAAATACCCCGAGATATCGAAATACAACGATGTGATCTTTCGTTTTTTATTTCGTACATTTGGAAAAGGGGGATTCTTAATGTTTGAAAGGGTGAAATTGAAAATTTCGAAAGGGAACATTTTCTAAGATAAAATTGAAAGTTTTATAATACTCTACGTTTGAAACTCGCAGGGGGAAAAATTCGAGGTTTCCGATTCGAATTTGAAGCTTTTGTATTTCAGGGGAAAGAAAATTTTGAAAAAGAGAATCCCAAAGTTAGAAAACTGGAATTTTTCTAAAAAGATAAAATATAAACTCCAATTTCTTCAACTTCTCGTGCCACAAGATCTCCAACTTAGAAATGTATTTGTGTCAACAAATATTCAAAACTTACTAACTGTTCGCCATTGATGAGACTGGTTTGAGAATTTCTGACATTGAGAATAGTAGGAACAGTATTTCGACGTCTCGAGGTTACAAGCCCCTCCACCAAGAATTTGCCACGTACGCACGAAGCTACACTCTCGAAGAGGGATAACTCGTTCAAGCAAAAGGTCAAGAGCATGTGCGAAGCAGCTCACAGGTTCGAAAGACTTTCGCAAGAACTTCCACGGAACAACACGGAGAAAACCGGAGGATAATTGTCGAGCAGAAATTCTCGATGAAAGTGGACGATCTCCTCGAACTGATCCAAGCAATTCGAAATCTAGAAGCTGGATCGAGAAACCAAAAAGATATCGAAATTCTTTGGAACGAAGAGACAACATTAACAAGATGACTCTACAACGTATTACACACGAACATGTATTATGATGATGATGAAACGGGGGGAAGCAAAGAAAAATTCAGAAGGAGAGGAAGATGAACCCAGACCAGATCAGAGGCCATCATCGTCTCCAACGGCCGGAAACGGATAGCCAAAGGGCAGCGAAGGACGTCGAATTGCGAGGAAAAGGAAGGAGAAAGGTCGGGATTATTTCTTAGTGTCGAATGCCAAACATAAATTTTTTAAACAGAAACAATATATATATATATACGAGTCTCGCCTGTGCTAGCTTTTAGTCTCTAGGGTTTCCTCTGTCCGGTGGTAAAAGCATGAGGTATTCTCGTACGTAATAATTCGTATGATTTGATTAATTTTTAGCGTAACGATTACTACATTAACCCATCGCTCTTGTGCCTACCTTGAATAGTCCTCGTACTCTTTGTACCCGACTTCTTTGTCTACCACCAATTTCACGTCATTCCGTCTACATCGTCCTGGCTGTCTGATCCCTAATTTTTTGTACTCGATTAATCGATTAATTCGCGGCTCACACTGCTCGCAAGTACCACCAGTCTCTAAAAGCACTGTCTCTCGTTTTCTGTTTTTTTTTTCCTTTTTTTTTTTTATTTTGTTGTTGTTTCATCACGTATCATACATTTCTATTTTTCTTTCTCCTCCTTTTTTTTTTTTTTTT